ACTCAGGTCCTCCTGAATCCAGAGCTGGTGCTCTATCCACTGCGCCACCTAGCTGCCCCAAGATATTTATTTCTCTAATTTATTTAATTTCTTTCATTTCCCTTGTGATAACAACAGTAATTTCAAATACAGATACGTAGGTAAGTTGAGTTTTTTATGCTGCAGAAATGGCTCAAAATCTTAAAATTTGTATTTTACGTAGCAAATCCCTGGTTTACCTAGAACTATTTATATGGTACACTTTTTCTCCTGAAAACAGAGAATTATGGAACTTAAAAAGCAGGAATGGACCTTGGGGACTTTAGTGAAACAGCCTAATTTTATAGAAAAGGAAACTGAAACTCAGGTTGTAGTTTGCCCCATATCTCTGCAGACTGCTGGAATTTCCACATAATTTATATGTATTTCAGTTTCTGCATCTGTACAGTAGAAACAAATGCTCATCTGTTGGGCATCAGTGAATGACCACCAGAGGTTATTCCATCTAGTTTGTTATTTATGATGTCTGTCTGACACTTGGCTGACTCAGACATTGGAATATTTACCTGGAGTGTATAGGTAGTTCTCTGTTCTCTACCTTTACCATCAACTGTCATGCTATTAGCTAGTAATTTTTTAAAGACAAGTTTTATTATTAATTCCTTCTTTTTGTTTTTACTTAAATCCTTTCCCAGCTCTCTGTTAAATGAACCTCCTTTGTAAATTGGAGGAAAAAAATAATCAAAACTAACCAACACAAGTGACTACATTTGATAATACACGGATATATATGTATATGTACATATTCATTTATCCACACACACACACACACACACACACACACACACACACACACACACACACTGTATCATTCACCATCTGTAGTCCTTTACCTTTCTATAGAAAGGAGGGAATGATATGTCATCAGCCCTTCTCTGAGCCAAAATTGGTCATTACAGTTTGTGTTGCAGTTGGTAATATTTCTGAAGATGCCCTGATAATTATATGGGGACTAATGGTGGCAGTGTCTAGTCCCTAGACTTTGGAAAACATTTGACAAAGTATCTCATGCTCTTCTCATGGGAAAAATAGAATTCTGTCCATCTGGCTTCCTTCAAAGCATAGCTGCACTGCCAGGCCTTTCTTGACATCCTCATTAGTCAGTAAGCATTTATTAGATGCCTGTAGTGTTCTAGGTCCTGTGCCGGGTGTTGGGGATACAAAAAAGGCAAAAGACTGTTCCTGGCTCTAATGAGCTCACAGGGAGATGGAGGATACTTCATACAAACCACTCTGTACAAGCGATATATACACAATAAATTGGAGATAATTTGTAGAGGGAAGGCACTAGCATTATGGGGAATTAGGTGGGACATCTCCTAGAAGATGGGATTTAAGCTGGGACTTGAAGGAAGCCAGGGAGCTAGAGTGTAGAGATGATGGAGAGCTTTGGAACCATGGGGGAGAGCCAGTGAAAATTCACATTAGTCTGGTGACAGAGTATCTTGAGGGAGGAACAGCAGGGAGGCCAGTGTCACTGGATCAAAGAGTACTTGGTTGGGGTTGAAGGGAAGTGAGGTAGAGGAAAAGTAGAAAGTACTTGGTTCTTTACAATTTGTTTATTACCATTTTTAAAATTAAAATTTGATACCTATTAATAGGATTTCAGTATGCATGTAAAGTTTCTCACATCCTAAGATTTATAGATGAAATTCTCATGTTTGCTAAAATGTTAATATAGTATCTCTTAAGCATGTGTATAGTAATGAGAATATAGATCTAAGATCTGTTCACAAAGTGCTGCACCTGAAAAGTGTATGGCATTGTAACTTTTACTTTACCTTTTGTCCAAGTTAAGGATATAATCTGATTTTGTAGCTATCCTGCAACTACTGATATACCTACCCATCTTAGTTAGACAATCCTCCCCCCACCCCACCCCTTTTTCTTGGTTTTAATTTATTTTGACAGCGAGTTATTTCAAGTTGACTTTGAGGGTAGGACCTGTACCAGTGATTTCTTTTATGTAAGGGGAACTCCCAGTGGGAAAATTCTCTCTGCCTGTGTAGATCATAGCTATTTTACAACTTAGAATTAAGTAACTTGCCTAGAGTCACATAATCAATAAGTGTAGGAGGTAGGGCTTCAACCTGGGGCTCTCTGGCTATATTGCTTGTCAGGAATTGAACATTAAATACTTTGATGTTAGTGTTATGATACCTTATGCAGTGTCACACCTTTAGCAAACTGTATATCAAAAACATTTTGTTTTTGTTGTTTTTTTTTTTTGGCCAGGCCATGGGGTTAAGTGACTTGCCCATGGTCACACAGCTAGTGTTATGTGTCTGAGGCTGGATTTGAACTCAGGTCCTCCTGACTCCAGGGCCAGTCGATAGAGATCCACTGCGCCACCTAGCTGCCCCCTATGGAAAACATTTTGAAGAGAGGGAGGGTAATGGAAGTCAGGGCTACTTGTCAGTGAGAATCATACATCTAGAACTTTTGGCTAGGATGCAACTTATATGTACATAAATGTATGAAAGTCAAAGGGGTCTGTGACATAAAGTTTAATGACCAACCCCTGCTGTAGAAGATCTGAGGATGCAAAACTTAAAGAATCTGGAAGATGGTCATTTTTGGCTGGTTCGCCAACCTGAGGAAAAGGACATTCTCAGAAACTGATGATGGTTTCCCAAGCCAAGCTCTGCCAGTGCCAAAGCCAAGAAGTACTTGAGTACTGGCATGAAAAGGACACAATTGTTTGGCTTTTTGCAGCAGAGGTGAAGTAGACAGAAACAAAGAGGAATAAAGACAGCCTAGAGCAGATTGGAGAGAATAACAGAAGAATAGACATGGCCAGGAGAGGGGGGGGAAAGATGCACACTCAGCATTCTGCAGGGACAGGAGAGTGCTGTGTGGAGTGTAGGCTAGGGGTCACTAGTCCCAACCACCCACCTGTGTGGGGTTGGGGGAGAGGTTTCAATGTAAAGGCAAGGAACTGAATATATTGTAGTAGCATAGAACACCATAACTATGTTACTGTATGTTATTCTAATTGATGTTCATGATAATGACTTGATTGTTGAAGAGGTTACATTCATTTTTGTTAAATTACATGCTGTCTTCCTTCGCTAATGTTTTCTTTACATGCATTGTAGTGGCATGGAGATGATTCTGGGATTCTTAAACTCTGTGTTAGTAGAATGTAAACTCTACTATAAATTCTAAAAACTTATAAAATAAAATCTAAATCATGCTTTATTTTTATATCCATATTGGTTAAGAGCACAGTGCTGATGAAGTGAGACCAAGGCCACAGGTTCCAGTCTTTGTAACAATTAGCCTTGTCCTTTTTCACAACTGGAAGCTGTAGTTCAAATGACCAACAACCATCTTGCCATTTGTTGTTTACCAGGAAGGTCAGGTTGGTAGATCAGTTCAAATCCATTATCCTTAAAGGATCGGGAAGACATGTGCTATGCAGTATCTTTCACAAAGGATAGTATAATTAAATTTTAATTTAATTTGAAACATCAAGTAGGGGACATAAACAAAAGTTATGCAGCTGTCTATTGTAAGATAAGGAAAGATTTAGATCTGGAAAGGACTTTAAAGGCCATTAGGCCAAACAGCTCATTTTATAGATGAGGAAACTGAAAATCAGAGAGGTTACATAATTTGCCCAAGCGTGCTTGGGTAGAAAAGAAAATGTATGAGAGAAACTGGATTTGGAGTTAGAATTTTGTCTAGATTCTGAACTGCTACTTAACAGGCCATCTTATCTCTAGGTCTGAGTTCTTCCCTTTGTAAAAGGAGAATGTTGGTTTAGATGTTCTTTTAGGCCCTTTCAGCTCTCAATTCCTTAGAGATAGAATAATTAGTTTCAGTAAAATATGTACTCTGCCTAAAACTGCCCCAAAACTTTGGAGACACTGTGTGTGTATATAAGTATGTATACTGTGTGTGTGTGTGTGTGTGTGTGTATACACGTATACACAAATGAGCCCAAAACTTTTAATATATTAGAATGAAAGTTGTATTTGAAGTGGCATATTTTTCAAATAAAAACATTGTTTCCAAACTAAATGAAGAAAGAATCCTCATGGTAAAATAGGCCATTTTAATTTAAATTGTATTTTGAAATATACCATGTGTATTTTGTGAGTAATGTTATTCTGTGGCCTGTGATTAATTATGCTATCAACACAATTATGCTTTTATTGTGGATAATTTAGCTTCATTTAATTAAAAGAAAATAATATTGCATCAGAAGTTGAATTTAGAGAGTATATTCCATCAAAACATCTGCATTTACTCCAAGATTGACTTGTTTCTAAACATCTAGCATTGCTTTGGGAAGCTAATGAAAAATGCTGGACAAATGGGCGAAAGACTTGACTTGTGGTTGCCTGCTTCCTAGTCTATTCTACTGCATGACTATGGACAAGTCTTAGCTTTTCCTGGCCTTAGTTTCCTCATCTATAAAATGGATATTGGACCAGATGATCTCTTAGATCTCTTCCAGCTCTGGAACCTATGGTCCTACATATGTGAAAATATAAACTTATAAGGTGCCATAAAGCCCTAAGACCCTCTTGCTTTACTCTAGGAACTTGAAAAACAAAAATAATGTCAAAGAGTACTTTCCATTAAATTTAATGTTAATTGAAAAAAAGAGGGGCATTTTAAAATTTTGCTTCTAGATATTAAAAAAGCTGATTTCATTGTTATTAAGAATGATGCAAATCCCAAATCAGAAGGTTGATGTCGTCCTTTTTAATAAGTCTACTTTTAGCTTTAGAATGTGATGTAGAAATAGGAAGGATTAGTGAGATCCGTGTTTACGGTTGGTGGTAGCAAAGTTGACTGATGGGGAGACCTCATTTCAGATTGACGTTGGTTTGGTGTAGAGTTGCTTTATGAATATCCCTTTGAGCAGCTCTGTAGTGTCTGTGTGTGGGTTTGAATCACTGTAAATTTGTAGGTAGGTACATATTACAATTGTCTGTTTTTCTTTTTAGGACTCATGTAATCAAAGGAGTTTCTTTGTTGTGTGTATCTTTACAGAACACAACAGGAATTCAAAATGAATCAGGTGAGTTTGACAATAAGAATTTATAAAAGTGCGTTACTTAGATGTTAGTCCAGTTACTTCTTAACAGACATAATAACACAACATCCATCCCCATAGAATGTAAGACTGTGTAGTTGTGTTTCTTAATATCTTTAATCAATCCATTGTCTTTCACAGTGTGCATTGTTTGTGAAGTTTAGTGTTTTTCTTTTGTTGTTGTTGTCTTTAGTTGACTGTGTTGACATTTAGCTAGTGCTCTTATCCAAAAGAGCCATCGTATCATCTATAAAATACTGGCCCCAAGATGCTTTCTGAGAACCCATTTCAGACCTTCCCTTCCTGATGATGGTTTTCTTACACTATATAAGCTGTTGACTTCTATTTTAACACCTTCATTTTTGGTGATTCTTGATTGTTTTAAAATGGGGACTTGCAAGTTGTTGTAGGGTCAAAAAAACCTATGTCAGATCCAGTGAGAGAATTTCAGTGTTCAAAGTCCTGAAGGACCTGCTATTGCAATAAAATCAAGGGATAGATATTTAAATGTAATCTGCTTTTCCTTTACAAGGGTGTGGGATTATTTGGAGGTTAAAGCCATCATGGCACAATCATGTCAGTAGCATGGAAGGTGTTATTATAGGAAGTGCGTATCATGCATGATGGAAAGTGTTTAGAATGTTAGGAATCATGTTTTCAAATCAAATGCCATTTTATGCAAAACAAAATCAAAAACATTTTGTTGTGAAGAATGAAACATATCATTTTCACAAGTTAGTGTGATATCACGAACCTCACAAGCACATCTCTTTTGGCCTTCTTTCCTCTCCCCAGTCTTCTGCCATTTTGGGATAACTTTTTGTTATTTATATTTTCACACAGTTCTGATCATCATAACTTAATTAGTGAAGCAAATTTGATGTAGTTCTTGGCTTTTTTTTTTAATTTTTGGAAATAGAATCTTTTTTCCTTTTAATTATGTCTTAAAAATCAAAATGTTTGTTTATTGTAATTCGAAATACCGTACATCTAAAGAAAGGGTTCTGGCCAACACATGGAGCAGGTGGTTTTTATTATTTTAAGACTAGCAGATTTACTGACATTCTTTGAAGGCGATTTTTTTTTTTTTTTGCAAATGGGGGTGGGGAGGGGAAAGAGATTTTGATGAATTCTGGAATATTATCCCATTAAAATTGTATTCATAAGTCATAGATTTTTATTTCTCATTGTTAGTTTTTGCTTTTTTTTTTAATGTGCACTGAGTATTAGCCCAAGGGAGCTTACTATTCTCCTAGCCTCGGCACTCAGGTCAGTCTTTTAGTCTTGGATGCAGACTGACTCTGAATGCTTTAGAAGGGCCAGATCTTGGGGGTTCTGGGGCTGCACGGCTGTTAAGTCATTATTTATTTCCAGATGTAAGTGGAGTTTCAGCATCAGGCTACTTGTAATATTAGGCCAAGAATAATACCTTATTTCTAATAGGAAAACTTTTGTGACACTTTCCCATTTTCAGTTTGGCATTCTAATTATGTTAGATTTGTTTTGTATAGTTTTTACAGTGTTCAAAAGTGCTTTTGCATGGATCTTTTTTTCTCTGTTGCTTTTACGATTTTATTTTGCTTCTGACAAGTTTTAACATCAGAACTGCAGGAGAACAGCCTTTGATGTCACATGGTAATATAACTGAGAAGTGTCATCTTACTTGACTAATGGTTAGCACATTTCTGAATTGGGTATAATTTAAATGTCAAAGTGGTGATGAAATAAACATTTGTTTGGATAAAATAGAGTGGTTCACTTTTTTTTCATTGAATTTATGCCAACTTTACTTATATTCCTATTATTTGAAGAGTGTTAGTTGCATATTTGGTCTTGGTCATCATACCAAACCTGTTTGATTTGATGAGGAAAAAAGTTTTTTTTTTTTCATTTTCAAGGGGTTTTCACCATTTTCTTTTTGGATAAATTATGTATTTGTTTGCTTCTTACTAATTTTCATACGTTGAAAATGCGAAGTCAGTGCTTAAGGACTTTATAGATATCTCTATATGAAATAATTTGGATATTTAAAAAATGAGTTAAATTGGGATTGACTGTGAGTATAGGTAACAACTGAGTTATGACTTTGGGGTTGGGTTATTTTTTATATTATGTTCTTTAATACTTAATAAACCATGCTTTGAGGAACTTCAGTTTCCAGATGTGATTTCAAAGGACCTAAAAAGCTATTTAAAAAGATCATTCTTCTAGGTTGGTTATGGCAAGTATAGTACTTGATGAAATAGTATGTTAATTCTTATAATTGTTCATTTTTAAGGAGCTAGAAAAGAAGGAAGTATTATCATTTTGTTCCTGTAATGATTCCCTCAAAGGAAACAATAGAACCTCTAAACTATCTTTATTTATCAGTTTGCTTTATTTATCAGTTTGCTTAGATATGTCATCAGTATTGCCTTTTGGTAGCTAAGCAAATTTCCTCTGTAGATTTAGCTCTGGCACCTCACCAGCAATACTTAACCCTTGATCTTCCTAAATGAGACTTTTGCTTGACTTGAGTGTGGATAAGTTTTTAGGTTATAACTGAGCTGCCTGCTTGTTAGCTAAGATCTGTCATTCTTTTTCTGCCCTTTCCTGTTCAGTGTCCCCTTTTACTTTTGTCTGAATCAGATAAAGATAGGGGGTAGAGAAGAGTATAAGAAGGAGGGCAGGATTGGTAAGGGAATAGTTATAAGCAAAACAAACTTAAATGTTGGAGGGAGGAATGTGAAGGGAAGATTAAAAGGAAAAAAAGTAAAAAACCTGAATCAGGGACAGGTTAAGAAGAAGCTGTGACAGAGGGGAAACACAAGTGTCGGGCAAGCTCCCTTTCTTTTATCACCATCTTATTTGTACAAAGAGAAGAAAAATTACAGGCGGACAGGAGGGAGGGAAATCCACAATTATCCAATCATAAGTGTGAATATGAATATGATGTATTCCCTCATTAAACAGAGGGGGGTGGCAGAATGTATAAGAAAGCTTAGAATCTGACAATATGTTTACAAGAAACCCACTTAAAACACAAAAGATTTGCATAGAGTTAAAATGGTCTAGAGCAAAATGTTTTATGCTTCATCTGAACTTGGAAAAAGTAGAAGTAGCAGTCATGATTTCAAATAAGGTTATGATAAATATAGATAAGATAAAGAGATAAAATGGGAAATTAATAGTGTGCAACTTTAATGTACCCCTTTCAGATCTAGACAAATCTAGCTAGAAGATAAACAAGAAAGAAGTTAAGGACTTGAATAGAACTTTAGAAAAACTAGAGATGATTATAGATCTCTGATGATTACTGGATGGTAGTAGAAAAGAATTTCAGCTGAACATGGAAACTTAACAAAAATTGACCATGTATTGGGGCATAAAGACCTTACCAAAAGTGTAAAAAAAAGGAAGAAATACTTAACACAACATCATGTACTTATCGTATAATGCAATAAAAAACATATTCGGTAAGGACCTTTAAAGAAAGAATTAAAAAGTATTTGGAGACTAAATAACGTAATTTTAAAGACTTGCTGGTTCAAAGAACAAATTATAGAAGCAATAGAAAATTTCACCAGCGAAAATGATAATGAGACAGCATATCAGAACTTAAGGGATGCAGCTGATGCATTCAAAACTTAGCATTTTGCTCAACAGAGAGAGAAGAAATTGGGCCTGCAATTTGTAAAACTTGGGCAACATGTTTATATACTCTTCTCCTGCAAGCCAGTTATAAGAAATAGTAAGCTCTACCTCCTCCCACCTGGAAAAATCCTACAGAAACTGAGTGTTGAAAGTAAGCCAGGGAAGCCGAGAGATGAGCGGTGTAGTGGATAGGTGGCTGGGTTGTGTAGTGGATAGAGCTTGGGGTCTAGAGTCAAGAGCCTGACTTCAAATTTGGCATCAGACACTTAAACCAGCTTTGTGACCATGGACAAGTCACTTTACCTCTGTTTGCCTCAGTCTCTTCAGCTATAAAATGAGGATAATAACAGCATCCACCTCCTGGGGTTGTTGTGAGGATCAAATGAGATAATGTTTATAAAGTGCTTAGTTCAGTATTTGGTATACATAATGGGTACTATATAAATACTTATTTCCTCCTTCTCCTCCAGGGCATTCCAGGAATGGGGGGCAGTACAAAAGCAAAGAGGCTGAAGATAAGAAAGAATGTTGTGTGTGACTCTTATTTCTCATTCACCAGATGGAGAGACTTGAGCTTCGTGCATCAGTCTTATCACCCATCCACTACCTATATCACTGTCCCTTTGCACATAGGTGACCGTGGGCACTTAGGTTTCTACTGGAGAGTAATGTCTGCACGATTTCTCCTTTACTGTGCAAGGAGGGTGAGACTGATGAGGGACAACAGAGCCAGCAACCTTCATTGGTCTGCTGTTGGATTCATGAAACTGGCAACCAGCAGCATTTTATGGGAACTTGCAGGGAGGTGAGGTTGCAGTTGCCCATGTAGCAATGGAATTAGCTACCATGCTCGCAGTAGTTTGGATATCTCATTGGAAATCACTCATCATGATCAGATAGTTTGGTAAAGGTGTGAGGGGGGGAAGAGAAGACAAGCAGAGCTAGCTATATGGGTCATGAAATTTATGATCTTTTTTGGAATTAGCTACCATGCTCCCAGTAGTTTGGATCCCTCATTGAAAATCATGTGAATCATGAAATTTATGATCGGGGCAAGCTGACAGTGTCTCAGTCTTCTATCGCAAAATTGAAGGCTCTGTAATTAGAAAGGGCAGCTCCCCCTGTTGCTTTCAGGAAGCCTCCTGGGGAGATAAAGTGAGCTTTGAGTGTTCTAGATGACTAGCAGGAAACAAAATGATGGTCACCTGTAATGTAGCATCACCTGCAATGTCTTTAACTCTTCAGTTTTAACTGTGGTGAAGAATGTAACGTGTGGGGAGTGAATATACATTATGACCTTTTAAAAAAAATGTGTGTGAGAAATAGCTGTAGCTAGTGTAGCTAGATCATTG